TATCATGCAGCAGATCTCAATCCTCTTGAAAATATCTGAGGTATATTCCGAAAGTTTACAATTCAGCGACTTAGAACAAAGGATCCTTTGAAGAATAAATAAATTGAGTTTATATGGAAATCGATCTCTCATAATGTAAGATAGAATCTACCACAACGATTAGCCGCAACTATAGAAGCAAATACAGATATAACAGTTTTATATAGCTAACGAAAATAATGATATTTTGTAGGGCTGACCCATTCTCAATTTTTTCACCGATCAGATATTAATTTTCGTGACCAATACGATATTGATAAATACATTGATTTTTTTGTCGTTATTTTATAATAGTTAATAACCGTCAAGAATAACGGGGTTGAGGAGTAATTAGTTTGTGTATATGGTATTATATATACATAATTAATATATTTTATAAAAATATTAAAATGTAGGCGAAAAAGAGATAAAATTGTGAATTACACCTCATAAGATATTCTTAATTTCTGATTCATCTATCATCGAATAGGGGAGAAAAGTATGATGACCCGTCTTTCTTGAAGGGCAAAATGAAATATATAACTAAGAGTACCAGATCTCCCGTTAGTTTGCTGAGTCCGTCAAAAATGACGGGGAATGAGAATTTTTTCCTTACTCTTATGATAGTTGTTACCTATTATTTGAAAATAATACAATTTTTAGGGATGTACCGATATTTTATATCGGTTCGGATCGGGCCGATATTTCCCTCATTTTAAAATATCGGTTATCGGCAAATATTATAAATTTTTTCGATCCGATATAAAATAGCGCTTTTAACAAAATTTAAAAAAAGTTATATCTAAAAAACCATTTATTTTTATAAATAAAATCGAAATATATTTTTATGTTTAATTTTTTTAATAGTAATAATTAGTTAATATACATTCTGCAATATAATTTTTTTTTTCGCATTCTGTTTAAAAAAGTGTTCATTAATCTCTTCAAGAATCTGTTTTCAGTCCCCATCACCGCAGACCGATCTCTGATAAATTGGAAATTTTGGTATTTCTAAAATAAATCTTCGATATATTAATTTTAAATATTAATTTCAAATTTCATAATGTAAATAGATTAATGTTATTACTTATTATATAAATAATAGCAATTGAATTGAATATAAACTATAAGTGATCATTATAATATTTTTAAATGACATATGTTATGGTATAGTAAAATTATAGATGTTGTACTAATAAAAAGTATATTAAAAATTAAAACCGGTATCTTTACAGAATACAAAATTAGATATGATATCGGATCGGTTATCGGCCGATATCAATTTAATATCTGGAATATCGGATCGGCCTCCAAAAAGTGTTATCGATACACCCTTAAATTTTTATTCTTTATAACCCCCTCCCACCTTCAGGTCAGGTCAATCCATTAAAACTAAGTTTAAATGCTATTGAGTCAAAATATATTTAAAGCTTTTACTTGATACCCATATTAATATTATTTGTTAAAATATTACTGATCATCTGCCTATTATTTAATATTAAAAAAATTCCCAAGCAAGGTCCAAGGCCATAATAATTTTGAAAAAATTTTCCCAACCCCAACCAAAGATCATAATAATTTTGGTAGGTGAGAACTAGAATAAAAATTTTAAAAAATCATAATGGAATTAAAAATACAATCAAAATCAGATTTTATGGGCCTTGGTTAAAAAAATTCCTAAGTGTCCAAGCGTAGCCCAATATAATTTATAAAAATAATTTCCAAGCCCATCCCGACCTATTTTTCTTAAACCTGACCAACCAATAATAATTTTGAAATTTTTTTCAGTTCCAATAAAAAATATTATAAAAATATTTTCTAAGCCCAGCCCGACCCATTATAATTTTAAAAAAATTTTCTCAAACCTGGCCAACCGATAATAATTTTGAAATTGTTTTCCCAAACCTGGAGCTTCCAATAAAAAAGATAAATATTGATATATTTAAATTACTTTATCATAATATAGTTTCATATATAAGAAAAATTGTATTATAAAATTAAATATAGAAGGGGGGTGATTGGAAAGAACGTTTGTCTAACGAACGTTAAGTCAGTGGTTAGAATCTCGTAGATGTTTTTTTAAAAAAAATTAAAAAATTTACTTTTTTTAAAAAAAAAATAATTTAACATTAGAGATATATAGTCTCCTTCGATTTATTTAACATTAAGATGATAGGAAAGTTGATACCAAAAATAAAAATTAACATTAAGGTTATAGGAAAACGTTCATTTCTTGATTACGGCAATTATATATATTAGATAATGTAATAGTAAAAATCTGTGTATAAATTTTTTTTAAAGGAGTTTAAATTAAAATATTTATCAAAAAGTCTCTAAACTTTAAAATTCTAAAAATATATCTTCTTTAAATTTGTATAAAGGTTTATATTTATAATGTCTTATTTTATTAAGTTATTTACAACCCTTAAAGAATAATTATAATATGGATCTATATGTATAATTTAGTTAAATATTATTTCTTTTAATGATGATCAGAATTTTCACTTATATATTTTAGCTTTAATACAAATAAGTGAGGGAAAATAACAACTCGTTTCGGCACATGACAACGAGTTAATTAAATCAATTAATAAAATAATTAATAAAAATTTTGAGGATAAAATTTGAGATCTTTGTTCATTAATGATATTTAAATTCGCATGATTTTTATTTACTATAAATATTTCTTAATAAAATAAAAACATAAAAATTTTGGGTAATTTTCTTTTTTAGTTTATTGCTTTACTTCTTCTACCGTATTTTATAAGTGGCACCTTCCTTTACACTTTTTTACAGGGCTGTGAACCAGAACCCGCCTCAATATTTTACTGAAACCAAACCCGAACCCTTTTTTAAAATTTTGAGTTCAGAGTACAGGTCTAACCCTCCGCCTACGTCCGTCCATACTTCGGACATTGGGCGGGTGGCGGCAGGTTTAAAAAAATTTTTAGCAATGGGAGGGCATGGGGGTGGGTGAATTTTTAATATTTTTCAGGCGAAATGAGCAGAACAGTCTTCAATTTATTAAAAATAATCGTTTGCATATTACATAAGTTTAATTAAAGATACATGAAGATAAATGAATAAAGAGCCAAACCAGCCTTAGAATAATTTTAAACATGAGGCGGGTGGGTTAAACAAAATTTATATGGGCACCCGGGCGGATAATTTTTTAAAAAAATATATAAGTGGGCAGGCGGTTTATAAAAATTCCCAAACAACGAGTGGGTGGGCTTTTTGGCTAAATACCAGCCCATTGCATACCTCTAGTATAGGGTTCAATAAGTTATTTTTAAATATTAAACTTTTATTTATTTTAAAAAATGTAATAAAAATAACTATATAAAATTATATTAAAATTAAATATAAAAACATACAAATTATAAAACATATATATAATTTTTTTTTATTATCAATAGTGTTGTTAAATGGCTCGATTTGAGCCGATTTTTAAAAACGGCTAACTCAAGTGTCTGAGCCTCAAGATTTCGTTAATAGATGTTCAGATTTTTATGCCACCTGTGAGCAAAATCTTAAGGCTTGCATAATATTTTTCCTAATTAAATATTGAGTTAGCCATTTTTAAAAATCGGCTCAAAATAAGGTGTTTAACAACACTAATTTTCAATATAAAAACATTTTTTGGTAAAAATTATTTTGCATGTAAATCTTTTTATTATATTTTAAGGTACTCCATTTTATCAAAATAATTTATTTAAAAAATTGTGATTTTTTTATGGAAACGAATATACAAATATTCTTATTTTTTATGTATGAGGATGATTTTGCCATAAGGTTTAGAAAATAATATAGAATCAAATTTTTTTAATGAAGGAAATTAAGAATGGCATTAACTTATTTTATTTTCTAAAATAACATGTAAATTGCATGTGCATAATTAGTTGGAACTTTCTCAAATACAAAAGTAAGCAATAATTTAACATTTTGATGAAATTATTGCATAATATTTTTCCTTCCTTTTAAATCTATAGATATCAGTTCATGATTGTGAAGGATATATTTTTCATGTAGAATATAATATAAATCCTTTAGCCATGATGTCCATTAATTATTGAAATAACAATATATACAATTTTTTTTATATGATTAAATATTAATTGTTAAGCTAGAAAAGTTAATTTTTTAAGATCAATTGATTATTTTATAATATACTTTTATGCAGTACCATTGATGAACAAAATTATTTTATACATATAAATTTATTTAGAATTTATTTAATGAATAAATTCTAAATTATAAGTTCAAATATAAAAATATTTTTTTTATAAATGTTCATTTTGAATTAGAATTTATTCCAAAAAATGATAAAAATAGGGGTATTGACATTTTTTTTTTATTATTTTATATGATGTTCAAATTTAATGAGAACAAAATATAAAAAATGTTGTCCATATATTCTGTGCTTTCATCATAACAGTTTCTGTTCTAAAGCAATGGCAAGCCCTCTAATTTCTATGCCTAAATCTGTCCCAAAATTTTTAAATGTATTGTATAAATTAAATACAGTAAAAATCATGAACTCCTTTATCCAAACCATGAGAAAATTTTAGTTATATTTTTATTTTTTAATTTTTTATCTATACCCAAATAACTTATTTTTTTTTAAAAAAAATTATGAGTTATCCCAATTTTTTTTAAATTAAATTTTTGGGGGTTAACTTGTAGGGGCCTAATCTAAAATAAAGTTTAAAAAACAAAAAATCGGATATCCATTATATCAGCCAATCCAATATTTTCTTAATTAAATCTTTCTAAAGGGTCTGTTATAAATCTAAATTAATATTTTGCCATGTTTTTAAACTCAAATATTTTTTTTTAATTAGCTATTTTGTTAACAATGTTTTCAACATATTACTAAACTAATACTAAAGATAAAATCATATAATAAAATAATAAAACTGAATATTAAAATATGAAATATTTTATATATACCAATAATTATATTTTAATTTAAATCATACTTATATTTATTAATTTGATTCCATCTTCTTTCATTAGAATCAAAGCTTTTTGAATATTTTCCATCTTCGAATGTTCATTTACAATGTTTTCAGTAAAATTACAAATTTTATGATTTTTAATATGATTTAACAATTTACATAAAAGAATACCATCGTGAAATATATTTTCCGTATTTTCTATGATACTATTATCATTACAGAGAATTTTGCTCACCCAATTTTTTAAGACTTGATATCTTAAAAATTTATTCTCGTTTTTTTTAAAATTTTCCATTTAGCATATTTTCCTAAAACGGCTGATATATAATGTACGAATGTTTCAAATGAATCAAAAAATTATCGTTTAAGAAAAACGCTTATATGGCGTTTTCTTAATATTTTTGAGTTAGATTAAACTTAAAAATAACTTAAAAATAGCTTGAAAATTTGTATAATATTTTTGATTTATATATATATTAAATCTTTTTATTAATAAAACCTTATACTAACCCTCATACCTATTTCTGGGGGTTTGCAGAAATAAGTATCTGCTTAATTTCTTTGATTGAGAACATGAAATTGTCTAATATTAAATTATTTCAAGAAATAATCTAGCCCGGATTCGAACAATATTTTAATTTTTAGAACTGCAATCATGTCAAAAAGGTGAGGGGAGTGGGGATATTCATAGGAGATTCGCATCTGACCACTTATATTCACCTCTCCCATTATCATCTTTTTCAATTATGTTTTCATGCCAAATTTAAAAAAATTATTAATAATATTTTTTTTTTCGAAACAAGTAAAATAATTTTATTATTGTTAACTTAACGTGATTGTCATAGTTCGTATTTTACATTATATTTAATTTTGTCTAATATCAAATGACAATCAAATAATGTATAAATATCGTAGATTCCTATATATATATTTAATTTTATATGATACTTTAGGGGTAGTGTACGTCGAATATCAATATGATGTCCTTAATATTTATTCAAGAAAAGATGAATGGAATTTGGATTCTCTTTGTTTCTGAAAATGAAGTGATGGTTTAAATACAGAGAAAATTTTTTATCAAGGTGTATTATTTTTATAGAATTGATGGAGTTATATATTATTTTTTACAATGGTGCCTACGGAAAGGGAGACGTGTACTCTGAGTCCGAGGTAGTTGCGGAACACATTATGAGCAACCAGTAGAAAAGGCAGTTGTCTTTGTTATCAAATTTGATTTGATTCTTCAAACATGGGTGAAAATAAGCTGAGGAAGAAATTATATTCATCATATTTTTTATAGAAACTAAAGGCGTACTAATTTTTCAAAAGAAATGAAAATAAAATTTGATACCAATGGGAAACTAATAAATTGTAAAATTAATTATATATATATTAAGTAAGGATATGTTACAAGTGATATTTTCTAAAATGATGTTTAAATAGTTAGGTAGAGATCTGCAAAAGTAGACCCGGCAAGTACCTGGCCCGGCCCGAGGCTTATTTTTTTTAAAAAATTTGCGTTCGTGGTGGGTCGAGCCAACTATTTTTAAAAAAATTCGAACCGGACCTTGAAAAAATTTTAAAATATAATTAATAAATTGGCGCCAATATTTTTTTGTAAATTAAAAATATTTAATATTTGTAGAAACTAGACGCCATATGGCATGTATCTTTTATTTTTGGCATAATAATAAATATATCATTAAACTTTTGAAATTTTTTCTAAGAAACTAGGCGTCAACATTTTCTATTTGTAAAATAAAAATATTTAATTTTATTTATTTAGAAACTAGGCGGTATATGTTATATATCTTTTATTTTGGGTATAAAATTTAAATTATAATTTTTTTTATAAAATTTAAATTAATTTTTTTATAAAATTTAAAATATAAGTTAAAAATTAAAAACCTGATGGATGTATTTTTTAAAAAAAATCACATGAAGAATGGGACATATCAATGATGACATATATTTGTATGCCCCATTTAGAAAGCAATATATGGGAAAATTTTGAAGACATATTTGATGATAAAAATAAAAAGCTTGGTTATGTCCAATGCAAAAAATGTAATAGTATATTTCAATATAAAAGTATATCTGGTAATTATCACTTAAGACGTCACAAGTGCGTTAAGAATCACGATTCCTCTATTCCTAAACTATTAAAAAGAAAATATGTGATACCATGATTTATTATTGCGCCAAGGACATGCGTGCCTTTGAATCGATAATCGGAGATAGTTTCATAAAAATGGCTCAAAATTTATTCAAATCGGCTCCATTTACAGTAATATTGACTGTAGCGAAATTATTCCCCATCTAACTACTTTATCAAGAAAGGCTATAGTTATGACAGATCAAATTAGAACAAATTTGGTTAATAAAATAAATTTATATCTGATCAAGGACCTAATATAATTAAAGTCCTAGAAAAATTACACCAGATTACACTGTTTTACGAAATACCTTTAAGGAAAAATCTTTGAAAATTATCGCTCCTAATATATATCAAACCCTTATTTCTGCTAAAAAAAATTAACCATGTATTTTTAACAAAGCAGCATGATTCAATTTTTAGGCAAAACATTACAACAAGATGGAATGAAATTATATAAGTTGAAATCTGTTTCAATATGATGATATCGTCAATTTTTTATCATCCAAGGGAGATATTAATAAAATGGAAAACTTGGAGAAATCTATTTTAAAAAATTTGATTGATATTTTACATCATTTTGATAAAGCCACTAAAGAACTAGAAGGAGATAGTAATCCTACTTTATATAAAGTACTGCTATGCTTTAATAATATTCTTCACGAGGGATTTAAATGATACTTTTTACCAAAACAATGAAATAAAACAAATAAAAACCAATTTAAAAAATTTTTTATTATCTAAATTTAAAATCGATATTTTGCATAAAAATAGCAACATTTTTATGCCCCAAATATAGAAAATTAAGAATGTTATCATCAATGAAAAGATTAGAAGTCGAGAACTCAGTCATGAATATAATTAATTCTGAAGAATATTGTAAACCTTCAAATGATGGATTTATATATACAAGGCGTTTCACAAATTGTGGAATCTCCTAAAAGATAAAGGTTCATTTAAAATTGTTCTATTATCTTATTTTTATATATCAGGCCATGAATATGAAAGTTAGGAGGACAATGAGGAAGAATATGAAAAAAAGGAAACAGATGAGCTAGAAGTTTATAAGAAAATTGAATATAAAAGAGAATGGAAAAGGATATATTAAAATGGTGGAGTAAAAATGAAATTAAATTACCAAAGATGACAAAATTGGCTAGAAAAATTCTACCAATTCCTGCAAAGTCCACCAGAGCGAACTTTTTCAAAGATTGGAAGGATATTAGAAGAAAAAAGAAATATATTGAAACCAGAAAATGTTGATGATTATTTTTAAATGATAATTATAAATATGAATCTAATTTATAGTTGTGTAATTTAATATTATAATTATTATTTTGTTTGGTTTATAGGTATTTTTGATAGTAGTATTTTAAATAAATAATTAAATATTAATAAATATATTTTTTTGTAATACAAAATGTTAAATATAAAAAATAAATTAAAAGCCAAAAAAAATTAATTTCTATCGGGCGGACAAATAATTTTTACTTTGGGACAAATAAAAAAAAATTCGGGTTCGGGCTAAGCCTTTTTAAAAAAAATTTCTATCAGGACCGGGCTTAAAAAATTAGGCCCGATGCAGATCATTAAGATAGGTATTGAGTAAATTAAAAGACAAGATAGACAGTAAAGTATGGGTGAAAAAGGATTCAAATTTTAAAATTGGGTTAATTATAATTGATAATAAAAAAAAGCATCTTTTAAAGGAGTACTATATCAGAGACCTGCAGGCCCGGCCCTAAGCCCGGCATTTAAAATTTTTAAAATATACCCGCCGGGCCGGGCCTGAAAATTTTTTTTTAAAAAACCCGGGCCGGGCCTGAAAATTTTTTTTTAAAAAACCCGGGCCGGGCCTGAAAATTTTTTTTAAAAAACCCGGGCCGGGCCTGAAAATTTTTTTTAAAAAATACCCGGGCCGGGCCGTATTTTTTTAAAAAAATTTGTACAACATGAATTATTATATTCGTCGATTAGATATGGTTATAATGATTATATATAATTATGATTAATATAACGTTTGGTGAAAGTTAACGCTAGCTAACACTCATAGTATCTATTACATAATATAATTATGTTTTCCTGCCATGGAATAAATACGCAAAGGATTAAATACATTATTAAATAATATATGTTATATTTTTTATTAATTAAAATATCAGTTTTATTTTTTTTATAAATACAATTGTTTTATGGTAGTCTTCTAGCCAAAGAGCTATCCTAGACAACACTTACGTCCCTTTTTCATTTTTGTTTCCCTGCGTCACACCATCTCCGTTCTTTTTTTTATTATAGTATTATTATTTATTTTTCAAACATTTTTAAATATATTAAAACATAAAATATTATATTTTCGTTTTTTTTAATACTTTATATTATTTATTATTTGAAAATTGAAAATAAAGTATTTAATAATTAATACAGTATATTCGCAAAATATTATTTACACAAATTTTTAAGTGTATCAATTTGTAATATACTAACTAAATATCTGTTTAGAATAAAAATAAATAAAATAAGTAGTAGTGTTGTTAAACCGCTCTTTTTTAGCCGATTTTTAAAAACGGCTAACTCAGTTTTTTATCCAGAAAAATATTATGCAATGAAAATTTTTCTTAAAAGGAGCAAAGGTCTAGACATATAGTATCGAAATTTCGAGGCTTAGTTAATATTTTTCTGGCGAAAATATTGAGTTACCGTTTTTAAAAATCGGCTGAAACGAGCCGTAATACAACATTAGCTAATAGGCTTGCTTACTCGCCGAAAAATATGATAAAATACTAAGTAGATGAATTTTTGTATATACGCGGTCGAATATTATTTTAAAAAATTCCAAGCCGGCCATAAAAAATTTTTGAAAAAAAAATCCGGGCCGGGCAGAAAATTTTTTAATCCGGGCCGTGTAAATGGTACCTCTGCAGGTCTCTGTACTATATATTACTGGGATATATTTTATTATAAGAATTGGTCGGCATATA